GGATGAGTCTGAGTGTTTGAAAAAAAATGACAATATAAAATGTGTATGTGCATCTGTTTTAGACAAAGGTCCTTTGGAATTTTCTTTTGTATACAGACAATAATATAGTATTAATATTATGATAATGTAGCAGGGGTTGGCATGGCTGTGCCCACTGCTGGGATACTAAAGTATGCATGTCATGGTTGTTGACCTGAGGTCTGGGTCCTTGGATTCACCATCCAGCAATGAAATAGGTAGCGCCCAGCAGGAGCCTTGGGGAACCAGGTTCCAGCATGTTGGCTTTCCTCTCTTCTGATGGCCAGAGCTTTATCTCTCTATATAAAAGCCTAATATGCCAATTGTCTGTTCCATCATTCAACCATTCGCTATGACGCACACTGACTACCACGGGGCAGACACTCCAACCGGTAGGTTAGTTTGCTGCTGGGATCTGGCCAATCAGGACTGAGCAAGATGGGCCAGACACACCCTGGAGCCCTCCTTGTCCCCGATCATGCACTGGCGGGGTCCTTCAGCCTGACCTGCGCCCTCTTGCAATCCAGGACCCCTCCGGGGATGTCGGAGAGCAGGTTTCAGCCTGATCCCTGCAGGCCAGGGCCTCTAGTTGTTAAATAATTTTAATACCACCCTTCTTCAATAGAGCTTCCAATCTGCCTTTCTAGTCTGTGTTCCACATACATTCAAGAGATCTTTCTGTAATAAAAATCACATCACATCACTAACCAGCTTAAAAACTTTTCAGTGGTCTGCACTGGCCCTTCAGGGTAGAGTCCAGATTCGTTATCCCTCCCCACCCTTGTCAACTCCTCAACTCAGTCTTCTACCAACCAAGTACAGAGGAACATCCTCTTTAACTATTCTGGACACACGAAGAGGTATTCACTCTCCCCACGAGCTATCTCGGTGGCCTGTGAATTCCCACAGCCCTTAGCATGGTGTCTGAGACAGAGAAAAATCACACAAGAGAGTGATTACCCACAAGGCCGTTCCTTCAAGGCAGGGGTCATGTCTTGTCATCTTTAGTAAAACAAAAAAACAAAAAACAAACAAACAAACAAAAAAAAACCTGGCAAGGAGTAATCGCTCAACAGATGCTTACTTAATTAATAAATAACCAATTTTTAAATTCCTTTAAAACCTTTGCCTAGTACATTAAAAAGTTTTATGATTTTGGAAACATATGTTATATTTCCTAATTTTCAAATATATGGGGTTTTTTTTTGTTTGGTTTTGTAACAGAATTTCAGTTTCATTTCCTTGTGAAAAAATGCACAAGGCTGGGTAGTTTTTTTGAAATACATTGGAACTTGCTTTACAGCACAGTGTGTGAGCCATTTTTTTTTTCTGCCTTGAAGTATGATTGACAAATAAAAATTGTGTTTTCTTAAGGTTTACAATGTGATGATTTGACATATGTATACCTGGTGAAATGGTTACCATAATCAAGTTAATTCACACATATATCCCTCACATTTTTTAATGGTGTGGTGGGAACACTTAAGGTCTACTCTCTTAGCAAACTTCAAGTATACATCACAGAGTTATCAGTATACTCACCATGACACCTGTAGGACCATGGTCACATTAGGTCCCCAGAACGTAATCATCTTATAACGGAAAGTTTGGCCAGCAGCTCCCCATTTCCCCAGCTTCTAATGTTCTATCTCACAGGCAGCCAGAGGGGAAAGGGGCTCCCTTAGAGCAATGATGTATTTTCTCATGAACACACTGAATGCTTCCCACCATGAATTGGACTTCCTTTTGGAAAAATGAAACTCTCAAGAGTTAATAAGCTGATATGTAACCCACAGGGGCACTTCTAACATCTTTAAAGCATGTTTCATTTCAGAATGTCTCAAGATAAAATGTAGGAGCCCAAATCAGTTCAATTGCTGGCAGAAACCTAATTCACTGTTGTCCATCCCTGATTTATGACCCCGCAGGAGACATACAAATGCTATTTCTCCTTAACCACCCCCCACTCCCCGTTGCTGCAAAATGTCAGGCATCCACCCAGAGTTAAATTTCACCTTTGCTCTCTGGAAAGGCTGACAGTGTGGGCCATCAATCTTGGCCCAGAAAGGCGTTCCTCACAGCTACCGACTGTGGACATGATTGGTCCTGGTGCATCCCAGGGCTATGGCGCCAGAAAAATCAAACCCAGAGTGCCTGAGTCTGGACGGTGCCGCAGTTTTACATCCCACGTCACCTTCCCTCGGCTGCTACGTGGAAGAAAGGAGGGGTAACTCAGGGAGGCCACGGGGACAGAGCACCAGGGAGCCGGCAGACTGCAGCTCCAGCAGAGGCAGCTGCAAACCCAGCTCTGACCAGAATGCCGGCTCCCAGCCTCACAGATTCACAGGCAGGCTCCCTTTCCCCTCACGACAGCACACCCACTCACAACTCAGTTTTGGGAAAGACAGGAAGCTTGGAGCACCGACTGGAGCCTCCAGGAAGGATAAGGTGGAGTGGATGCAAGGTCTGGGCAGGTTTCCAGAACACAAATGGCACCCCCTCCATGGACCAGGTACCTCACACACATCGCCTTGTTTAATACACCAACAGTCCTGATGCCCAGGACTCATTCCTCCACCCCGGGGGTGGGGGTGGGTGGTGGGCAGATAAAGTACAGGCCACCAGTTAAATTTGATTTTTAAAAATTAGTATAAGTATGTCTCATGCAATATTTAGGACATACCTGTACTAAAAAAATTATTTGTTGTTTATCTGAAATTCATGAACCACACACCCTGTGTTTTTTCCACTTGCAGAATCGGGTAGCCGTACCCCAGGAGACATTTGGCAATGTCTGAAGCCATTTTTTATTGTGGTGAGCTTAGGAGAGGAGGGTTACTACTGGCATCTAGTGGGCAGTGGCCAGGGATGCGGCTAAGTGTCTGAGTGCACGGGACAGCTCCCCCTTCCCCACAGAATTATCCAGCCCAGTGCCCAACCATGCCCCGAGGACAGCTGCTGCTCTATGGTAGCCCCTGTGCCTATGCCACCAGTTCTCACAGTAACAGAGCTAATGAATCAGGACACTTAGAAGCTTGTTTGGAAACAAGAGGTTTGGAAACAGACTTTCAGAAGACCTTACGTTTCATTCCTACATGGATGTATTTTTTCTTTTTTTGTATAAGCCAGTGGTCGGCAAACTCATTAGTCAACAGAGCCAAATATCAACAGTACAACAATTGCAATTTCTTTTGAGAGCCAACTTTTTTAAACTTAAACTCCTTCTAACGTCACTTCTTCAAAATAGACTCGCCCAGGCCGTGGTATTTTGTGGAAGAGCCACACTTAAGGGGCCAAAGAGCCGCATGTAGTTTGCGAGCCGCAGTTTGCCAACCATGGGTATAAGCTCTTTTTATTTTTATTTTTATTTTTTTGCTATAAAACTGATCTATTAGGGATGTCATTTTCCTCCTTACATACTTTTAAATGCACCCCAAAAAGCAAGTGAAGGGGGTGCACCACAAGAACAGAAATGTTTTCCCCTTGGGGCCTTGGTAGAAGGTAGCATTCTCCATCAAATGCTTTCTGACAGCACCCACAGCTGATAAGCGGTCATTACCACGAGACAGGTAATAACCATGTATTTCCTAAAACGTGTTTGCATTCTTGTTTCTTAGGGGTAGGGAAGTTTGCTCTTAAGATTCCTTGCTAATCCTCAGGAGTGGGGAAGCAGTGTCCTTGGTAACAATACCTGGCTGCAAGCACACGTCCCTGAGAGGCTGCGCCAAAAAAGCTGTGGCAGGTCAGCGGGAGGGCCCCCCTGGTTCCATGGACCTGCATTCAGAACTCTGGGACGCAGGTGTTCTCTGGGGCCCACCTCAGCTCTTCCTCCCAGAGTCCTCCTCGCTGTTCCATCCCCACCCATCACGTGCCCCTGACATCTCCCAGCACTCACACCCGCCGGAACACCTCGCCTCTTCTGGCAGGAGTGTAAAATGGTGCAACTATAGAGAATAGGCAGTTTCTTATAAAGTTAAACATACACCTACCCTATGATCTAGAACTCCTACTCCTGGGTATTTATCCAAGAAACACAAAAACATGAGCAAGCTGAGGCAGCTCAAAAGATTTTATAAGACTGATCCGAAAGCAGCCATTAAAAACATTAAAATTAAGCCCTCTCCTCCCTGAAACTTTCCTCCCACCAAAACAAAAAAACCGTAAAAACAACAAAAAGTCATGGAAGCAAGCCAAATGTCCATTTGCAGAAGGGAGGAACACGTCGTGGTGTGTCTATAAATGGGATACTATTTTACAATAAAATGGAATGAACCACTGGTACATGCAACAACATGTGTGAATTAATAAAACACTATGCTGACCAAAAGAAGCCAGAAGGGTCCATACTTTCTATGAAGCTCAAGAATAGACAGAATATTTGGTGACAGAAATCAGAATGGTTGCCCCTGGGTTGGAATTTTTGGGGGAGATGAAAATGTTCTATTATCTTGATTTGGGTAGTGGTTATACAAGTATATACAATTGTCAAAATCCATTGACTATCCATTTATGATTCTTGCAACTTTTTCTATGTAAACAATAATCTCAATTTTAAAACAAGTGGTCCGATGAAACAGCAGCAGCAAGATTACATTACCAGTAATACATCAAAGCTCTACGCACCAGACTAAGATACTTAATAACTGGTCTGATTTGGAAGTATTCAAATTCTATTGCTTTGGGTCTTGCACTAGTTCAGTTGATTGCATCTGACCAGAAAACATTCTTTCTGCTCTTCACACCAGAGATGACAAAGGCCAGGCAGGGCTCAGGTTCCATTCCAAAGCTCCTTCCACCCCCGTGACCACGCTCTCCTGGAGTAGGGTAACTCCTGAAGGGGGTGTTCCTAGATTTGGGCACTCAGGAAGCTCAGGCCACTCTTCTCTGCCAAAGGGAGATTTGCTGAGGCTGCTGACCTTCCGACCAGGACCATGCTGCCTAGGGTGGACTTCAGTCATCATCGTTATGAATCAAATACAAACTACATTCTGCTAACCACCACCCAGTCCACAAAAAGGGTTAGGCAGCAGAGTTACTGTTAAGGGTTCAAGACACAAAACAGGTAATTCTGGCTTTGTGATCTCAATGAGTACTGTAGCTCTCACCATTTACCTTACTTAAGACCAAACTCCTTCACACATACTCTCTCTCTCTGGCTCTTTCTCTCTCTCTCTCTCTCTCTCTCTCTCTCTCTCTCTCTCTCTCTCTCTCTCACACACACACACACACACACACACACACCACTTGAGCTATAAAGAATACTTAGCTCTGGAGGCAGTGATAATTGTGAGATTAATAAATAACATTGTATGTTAATTGATTAAGCAGGAAAGCCAGAGATTTCTTTGCTTAGTTCGTCGGCTCTGGAAGTCTGGTGCACTTAGAACCCTTGGGTTTTGAAGTCTGATAACGGGCCTCGGTAAAAACAAACAACAAAAAAAAAACAACGAAGGGGGGCCTCAATGTAACGCTAGATTTAAAAATTACATGACAAAGGTTTTCAGAATCTACAATAGAAGTCATTCCCATTTGGCAGGAGCAGGTAGCAGTTCAGGTGCCATTGTGGAGAATCCTGTCTGATGACAAGAAAAACGCATTGAGAGCAAAGTGATATGAACTGGCCAGTCTTGAAAAAATAAGTATAATGACATTTTAACAGGGCAGTAGATTAGAAAAAGATTTTGGAGTGGGTATGAATTTCTGTGGAAACAGTGCTCCTCAGAACCCAAAGGGAAACAAAAATGAGTTTTTAAAAATACCTCATGAGTCCCCCCCACCCCCCTCCAGTTCTGAAGACTGAATTGTAGGTGACAGGAGAGGCTTCTGACAGAAAATTAGATCTGACGGGAATCACAAAGCTAAAATGCATCCCCTCCACTTTAGTGCTCCAAGTAGTGAGCTGTGATTAACCCTAACCAACACTGGGGGGCACCCTGGGTCCATAAGATACACAAAGATGAGGTGAGTTTAAAAGCCTCCCCAGTGACTTGACTTTGCAAGTTGAGGGGAAGCCTGGAGCAATTCCCATGCTCATCCTCTGGAGTTCTCCTTCACTCACATGCTAGGTCAGCTGGCCACACTCTTCAGTTCAACATGCACAGTACCCTCCTGGGGGATAAATATCCTGCAGGACCTGGGAAGCAGGTGAACTTGATTCACCATTACCTGCCTAGGATTCTTTTGATTGTTTTCTTTGCCCTCAAATAGCCATTTTGTTATTGTTTCCCAGTTAGACAAACAATACACGCTTATGTAGCAAATTCAAGCAATGTAGAATCTATACTAATAAAAGGGTAATATGCTAATTAGATTCGGAGACCTTCCAGGAGACCTTCCAGATGTTCTTATGGACAAAGCCTTGGTAGCAGAGCTGAGGTAGAGGTGGCTAGGGGCCAAGAGGGGAGGGCAGTTGTGGGTGATCAGGCCAGGATGAGACAGCAGTTGTGGGTGATCAGGCTGGTGGGGGGAACTGTTGGGGGTGATCAGGCTGGCTAGGGGAGGGGTAGTAGGGGGCAAGTAGGCTGGCAGGGGGACAGTTGAGAGCAAGCAGGCTAGCAGGCAGAGTGGTTAGGGGCAATCAGGCAAGCAGGCAGATGAGCGGTTAGGAGCCAGTAGTCCCTGTGTGATCGGGCCTAAACCGGCAGTTGGACATCCCCTGAGGGGTACCAGACTGGAGAGGGTACAGGCCAGGCTAAAGGACCTCCCCACCCCTTCACGAATTTCATGTATCGGGCCACTAGTATAATTGAAAAGGAGGCAAATCACCCAAATTTTATTACCCAGGGATAAACATAATTTACATTTTGGATTTAGTACAATTATTAGTATTAAGCCATGAGACAATCTAGTGAGAGGCTCAGGGAAAGTAAGGACTTCATTCACTAATATTTGATGTATGAATGCTGGTTCACAATACTTTGGGGGCAATGACTGTATTTCACATTGAATATTAGGGCATATCTGCATCGGACATTGCCTGTGTACCTGGAAATGTCCACGGATCTCTGGGCTGGAAGAGTCAGATCAAGAGAGACACTTCCTGAAGCTAAACACAGAGCCCAGAGTAATGCTTGCCAATGTCTCACTCCAGCTGGGCTCTAAGAACCTGGTTCCACCAGTAGTCCCGTCTGTCGCCCAGTTATAAAAACAATAAAAAGAGAGGGGAGCGATGCGCTAATGCTGTCATTCTTCCACACAGCTGCCTAGACTTGTAGATGTATTACATTTTGACCTCCTGCCAAATCTGAGGAGGAAAGCAGTTCAGATTTTTTTTTTTTAAATCAATGAGAATATTCTGCAGTAGTTTTTCATCTTAACAGAGGAATAAAGTTCTTTATATTTCCTTTTATGACACATGGAAATACTTGTTTCTAAATTAAATTATGCCTGTAGGTAGAGCTTAAAGATTTCAACTTGGTGATTAAGGATTTTGATACCAACTAAGATGGGGGGAGGGGTGTTCCCCACATATCGAAGCCATTCTAGACACCAGCTGGGTGTCCTAAAATTCAACTCTATTCTGACAATATCTACTCAAAGATAATATCAGGTCCCACAGGTTCAGGTCAGGAACACTAGCTGCCCCCATGGGCTCCCCACACACAACCCTGCCACACACACACACACACACACACACACACACACACACAGGCATGCATTTCAGGTACCAATTGAAGGCCAGGTTGTCACCTGAGCTTCTGACAGAGTAGCTATAGCTCAGAGGTTCCAATGACTCCCTCCTTGGGTTTGAATAATTTGCTAGCATGGCTGCCAGAACTCAGAGAAACATTCCACTTACTAGATGACTAGTTTACTATAGAGGCTGTAACTCAGGCATGGCCAGGTGAAAGAGATCTATAGGGCAAGGTGTGGGGGAAGGGGCTCGGCGCTGCCATGCTCCCCCCTAGAGAACTGCTCTCTTCAAATCTCTAAACCCAGGAGCTCTCCAAACTCCAAGCTTCAGGCTTTTAGAGGCTTCATTACAGAGGCATGCCTGATCAAGCCATTGGCCTTTGGTGATTAAACTCCATTCCTAGCCCCTTTTTCGTTTCCCAGAGGTCTGTGAGTGAGGGGAGTGGGCCTGAAAGTTCCAATCACAAGGTTATTCCACAGCAGCCAGCCCCCATCCTCAGGGGTCTTCCAAGTCACTTCATTAATCTAACAAAGACACCTTCCTCATGCATCCCTTAGGAAATGCCAAGGGTTTTAGGAACCCTGTCAGGAATGGGATTGAAGACCAAATATACATTTCTTATTATAAATCACAATATCACAGTGATAATAAATAATTCAGAAACATTTGACAAAGATGGAATTCCCATGGCAAGAACAGTAAGATTTGGGGGCAGATGAAAGGAAATATGGTGGGAAAAGAGAGAGAACAGACAAATCCAACTCTCTGGGGATGTCTGCAGCTCATTCCGCACCAAGGAGTCAGAGATGAATGTAAAACCCAACTTTATGCTCATCTAATCCCAAGGAATTTTGAGAAGCCATTCTCCTCTCAGATTTCTAAATTGACATTGACATTTTAATCTTAGCTCTGGAGAGATATATATTGCTAAGAGTAAACTTTCTGGCCTATTGTAAATAATGGCAACTTTAAATAGAACCATGACCTCACTCCTTAAAATGGAGCCAATGCCATCAACATATCACAGAATCTTGGAACCATCATCGGCCACTTAATAATCACAGGGAAAAGCTCTTGATTAAAAGGGAAATTTACAAGATCCCCTTTTGTCCTTGAACTTGAAATTCCATTCCACATTCCCCACAGAATTCTAACTAAATGCAAGCATATATTTATGTGTGAATCATACGTGTGTGATTTTATTGATTAACCTATTATACTTCTCTGCAACAAACATATATTCTAAATTTAAATGTAAAACAATATCCTTTGATCTTAAGCTTTCTAAGTGATAAAAAAAAACACCATTACATTTCTTGAGCTATTATGAATGGAGGGAGTTTTACTTATAGCTCCATCATTCAGTTCTATGAACTCCAGGTCCTCTTAGCTACCTATCAAACATTGGTAATCATCTGTGAGCTTACTTGTTTAGAATCGTGTTCAGTTTTGTTGAAAACAAAGAATTAGAAACCACCTGGTGGCAAAAGGATTTGTCACTTGCCCACTGGAGGCCATTTACTTTCTCACCACAGACACCACGTCCCTTCTTCAGAATCTAGAGGTGACCAGCTGAGGACCCTCCTGGGCATTCCACCTGCCTCACAGCATATAGAGGGTGTGTTCTCAGACACATCAATTTATGGAAGCAGAGCTTCTCAAAAGTGGCTTCTTGTAACCATCATTGCATATGTCCTCCTTGGACAATGAGTTTGCATACCTAGTTTGAAGAACAAAAGGCTTGGGAGTTCGCCAGGTGAAAGTGCTAATTCTACCACCTCGTTGACCTTGAGCAAGGTTCCTACTGTTTCTGAACCTCAGTTTTCCCTAATAATAATATTCTGTAACTACAGTAATATTGAACCTTAGGGGTGGCCCGAAGGCTCAAAGGAGCTAATGGAAGTAAAAATGCTTTGTAAATTGTAAAATTCTATGACGAAGTTAGGTACTTATTTTTTCATTGCACTTTTGTTACCAATAATCCCAGTGTAACAGTAAGACCCAGGGTCATGAATACAGCGATGCCAATCCCTAGAATATGGAAACCTTGTCAATAAGTTCAATACACTGGTTTCCTGAACCCCTAACAATAAAACAACAAATAGGTACGCAGCCAGTTCTAATCCTGGATAGCACCAGTTCTCAAAGGGTGGTCTCTGAGACATTAGCATGAATATCATCTGGGAACCTGTTAGTGATGCAAATTTTTGGCTCCATCCAGTCCTAGGGAATCAGAAACTCTGAGGGTGGGACCCAGCAACCAGTATTTTAACAATTCCTCCAGATGACTCTGCTACACCTGTTCCTGGTGCTCTCAGTGTGGGGGCCCTACTGGATTTCCCCGAAGACTGGGTGGCATGAGAACATAGGAGGAGCATTTAAAGTGAATGAGTTCTGTATCAACAAGCCACTGAACTTCCCCGAGGTTGGAAGTGCTCCTTCATATTGTAGAATAAACACCAGGACCTCAGGGGAGGGGACCTGGGGACTCCCCAGCAGCTTTCAGAGTATAACGTAAGAGCTTTTATGACACACAAGCTAATGGCTGCTCCCTTTAGTGGGCAAAAACAAGACGTCCGTTTGGTCTTCCCTTTATAAAGAGAGAAACAGGATCAGAAGCAAAGACCATCCACTGAGATTTCAGGAGAGTTAGCTGTGCCCATCTGGCTACGAAGATCTGGACTTTGCTCTGGATGATAGTTTTCTGTTTCAGAGCTGTGCCAGGGTAGCCTGGCCCTCCTCTATCTGCCTCCAGGCTCCTGACGCTGACCC